GCCAAACAATGTATGATTTTTTATGTGTGGATTACATGTGTAAAAAATAGAGACCGAAAGCCGGGCTAAAAGTCCATTCAATTCAATGAAGAGCTCAACAAAATTTTTTGAGCAATAATTCTCATGAGATTTGTTTTGTCACAAATGTGTTAGCAATACAAACGATACAACTTTTGTGCCACTTTTTGTAGTTTGGTTTTTTTACCAAACAAAAAATAAAATCAAAGTTTTATTTAACAAAGATCAAAAATGTGAAACTATAATATACGGGATATAACTTACTCTGTATATCGATAACTGAGGAGTAAATAATTTTTTATATAAATCTCTGTATTTTGTATTCTCGGGTATACTATAAATCAATTTTTCGTATCAAAAAGTTTTTTACAGTAATGTATATAATGTATAGAGTAATAGTATGAAAACTAATAAAACATACAGTTTTCGTAGCACTTAAACAACACAACACTAACAGAATACTAACAAAGCTTTATTTTTCGTGATTAACTGTCTGTGATGTAAATGATTTTGTAGTTTATAAGTTATTTTTAATGTCGAGTTCACTAAATCAATTGAGTTAAGAGACAATGAAATTGTTAAAACTCGAGGATAAAATCTCTATTTGTCATTTAATATATAATATTCTTATATATAATCTTCTTCTGGATATCAATGCCGGAGCAATAGATTCGCTGCTTTTGTGTCGTTTCTGTGTTATTCACTCCGTATTTGTAACTCAAATTCAAGACTGAATTAATTATAGCTAACATAGCATTCAGTGATCACTAACTTCTTAATAAGTTCTCTCAAGATATTTGCAAAAGAGCTCACATTTTTTGAATTCCAGCAAAAAATCTAATAATCGTTACAAAGGGTTATCCTTAAAAAATCACATTTTTTGAAGACAATTAATCCAAGAATTCCGACTCATAGGAATCCTAACTTTAATTAAATGCCGGATATTTTTGAACTACACATTAGAGATTTATTTTGAACCTAGCATCTATTACATAGTAAATATCTGTTAAAATGTAAGTTTTCAATATTTATTAACAATGCCAGTAAATATCCTTTATTTTAACATAATTCCTATGATAAAATAAAGTGTTAAATCATTTGAAATAAAATGTAAATGTGATATATTGTTGAACACTGATCGCTGTACAGAGAAAATTAAATTAATTTTTGTTTAGTAATTAACACGAATGCAAATAAAGTCTATTTAATAATAACCTGTCATTCAATTATGTCGTCAATTACAGGGCAGTCAACAAGAAGTGGTGTTTGTTTGCAATTATTGAGCTCATTGGTTTAGAAATATTTTCTAGATTAATTTATATAAATGTGCAAATTTGTACACATATTGAGTAGTTGTTGACAAAATATTTTCATACAATTATGTCTCAATTTTTAAAAATATGCAAATCACTTTAGGAATTTGCTATAATATACGGGAGTACATCAAAATCTCAAAAAACAAAATCTAGTTTACAATATAATATTTGAATATGATTAAATATTTATATATTAATTTGGTTTATAAATAATTTTATAATAATTTAATTTTTATAATTACTGCTTGAAGTTACCCTCGTAAGTTAATTGGAAATGTAGTTTATTTTCTAGTAAACTATGAAATAGTTTCTAGTCAATGAAATCTGATTTATTCTTTAATATATATTTGCAGCAAGCAATTCACAAGAATTTAATCTGTTTTTATTTGTTTCAAATAAAAACAATTCAACAAAATTATAATTTCTTTGGAAACCAAAATCCAAACATTTTGCCTTTTATTGAAATTTTATTTTTATTGCAAACATTTTCAATAATAAGGTATTGATTTGTTTTGCAAATTGTTTTTTTTATCTTAAAATTTTATTTATATCAAGAGTCGACATCAAAGGCAAGGACTGGTAGCATAAATGTTTGCTTCAGAAACCCAATATTTTATAAAATATTATTTACATATTACTTAATTATGACTTCATGCCATAACCTTCAAAAATACCCAAGCTTCAATTTAGATAAATGGTAGCATTTAAAAAATATTGGCATAGTAGTTATAAATCGATTAATATTCTTAACCACTAATATAAACAATAACAAAAATTTGTATAATTAGATAACTAATTTTATTTAAATTACTATTTAATGTAAGTTACTTAATGAATAAGTACATAATTATTTCATGTTATAGTGATTTTGTATAATTATATATTAATGATAAAATAAAGTAATTTATTGTATCTGTACTGACAACTAATAATAATCATTACATTATTATCGGACATATGTTTTTGATCTCTAATTCCCAGATATATTGGAATTCTGTTTTCGCAAAATATGGCAAATAGTTGTCTAAATGTAAATGTTTTTGTGTTTGTCTGTTGCGAAACACAGCTATAAATAAATCTTGATCAAATTATTTTTAATGGCAAATTTGTGTAAGTTATACTAACAACAATCATGTGACATCTTAATCAATTAGACTCGAACAATATTAACAATCAAATTAAATTAATTAAAAATATAAACTATTTTTAATTAAATATTCATTTATTTTATGGTACCCTACAATTTCATACTATTTTTATATCAATATAAGAATATGTCAAAATTATATTTCAATAAAAAATTTTGCAGTATATTTGTAATACAAAATATTATATTAAGGAAAATATTTGTCGTGTCATAAAATATTATCACAAAAATACTCTTTTTAAAATAATCTATAGCTGTCTTTATAAGTAATATCAGTATATATTTAAGTTTAAATTTATTTGACACTTATCTGACATAAAATAAGTGAAAATATGTACTAAAGAGACATTTTTCAATTGCAAACCTTTTCTGTGAATGCGATATATTTTTTGAGTGAAAAATACTTATCAAAATGATATCATATTTCTTAGATGTTTGTTTTACAGTTATTTCCCAAAAACAATGGTTTTTTAACACAAATTCATTCCCTATGTATGAGAAATTCAATGTATTGTAAATGACTATTGAATTTACTTTATAGTATTGTACTTATATTTTATTTCCCAATACATTATAATTTGTTGTTTACATTTGAACCCTATTTTGAGCTCCCTTTCCCTTTGTCTCCCACTCTAACACCCATTGTTTTGTAATAGAAAACAACAATCAATTTATCATAAAAGGTAATAATATTTTTAAAAACATTCTGTATATCACATGTTTTTGCATTTAACATAATTGATGTTTAAAAAACAATGGATATAATAAAGCAAATCTAATTTATTCCCTAATTCCGTAAAAGTTGATAAAAATAGACTTATTTTTGTAACAAAATGTATTTTTTCGGAATAAAGTAAACAGGTTCACAAATTTATTGAAACTAAATGTATCCTATTTTATATTGACTTGACTGCGATGTTCAGGCAATATTTGCATCAATTTTGCTACAATTTTTGTCTAATCCATTTTATACGTGACTTACTAGTTTAGATAATCATAATAAATAATATATGTGTTATATTGTGGGAAATTTCGTAAATTTAACAAATCATTTGCCTTTATTGTTAATAATATAAGCAAGAAATTTCAGAAATGTCTAATAAAATAGTCAACTTTCCAACGCTTTCAACACGTATTTNTTACATTTGAACCCTATTTTGAGCTCCCTTTCCCTTTGTCTCCCACTCTAACACCCATTGTTTTGTAATAGAAAACAACAATCAATTTATCATAAAAGGTAATAATATTTTTAAAAACATTCTGTATATCACATGTTTTTGCATTTAACATAATTGATGTTTAAAAAACAATGGATATAATAAAGCAAATCTAATTTATTCCATAATTCCGTAAAAGTTGATAAAAATAGACTTATTTTTGTAACAAAATGTATTTTTCGGAATAAAGTAAACAGGTTCACAAATTTATTGAAACTAAATGTATCCTATTTTATATTGACTTGACTGCGATGTTCAGGCAATATATGCATCAATTTTGCTACAATTTTTGTCTAATCCATTTTATACGTGACTTACTAGTTTAGATAATCATAATAAATAATATATGTGTTATATTGTGGGAAATTTCGTAAATTTAACAAATCATTTGCCTTTATTGTTAATAATATAAGCAAGAAATTTCAGAAATGTCTAATAAAATAGTCAACTTTCCAACGCTTTCAACACGTATTTCTTAAAACACAACTGAATTTAAGAAACAATTTGTATTTAGTTGTGTGACTGAAAGCTAATCGAAATTTCATTAGTTTGTATAGAATTGCATGCAATCTATTCATACATTTTGTTTGAATTGAAACAACCGATTCGCAAACAACTCACAAAATATATATTTAGCATAAAAGTTGTTCATTAATTGCTTTGTAGATATTAGAGTTAAATATGCCATAAAAATTTATTAATGTAAAACTTTTAGATAAATTGCCAACCTTCATACATTAAAAATAAAATTATCAAACACTACATGATATTTATTTATTAAAAATATTTGTCAGAAATTCTAGTTAGGAGATAAATTTATACACTATAAAAAGGTTTAGTATTCCAGTACATTTTAGCGAAGGAATTTTTCAAAAATAATACATATTGTATAACTCATAGACAATTAAAATTAATTTGTTATTTAACTCCCACTCTGGTTAATTTTTAAATTAATTATTTTCTATTAATTTAGTATAATTACCGTATACATTTCCAACATTTGTCAAATAAAACAGACCCTAATAAAATCTAACATAGATTACATTACGATTATAAACTTATTTAACAAACAAATTGTAAAGATAATTTACAATAATTATTATTTTATGGTCATTAACTAAAATCACAAGGTTTTTGTTTTATGGTCATTAACTAAATTCGCCAGGTATATAAGGTGCAACTATGCAAACAATTCTTTATGTAAGTATTATGAATCCTAATTAGACATTAATTTTCATAGTTTCATATCTAATAGAAATTATCCCTATATTTTAGACCACACATCATAAATTCAAACTAAAGACCTTACTCAAATAATTTACAAAAAACTTTGAGACACAATAAAATTATGGGACAATTAAATTTAACCAAGATCATCGATTTGTCGTATCAAAGACTATCTCACTTCGTAATTATAATACTGTTTTGGTCGTTATTGTGGTCACTATATGGCGATCCGGCCCTTCCAGTCGGTGGACACCTCTTTCATCTCATAATTCTGTTTATAGTGTCGTGTATTTCGGCACAAATGTGTCAACTTATATACTGTCCGCCACTTTTTGGATCATTAATTGTAGGATTTATTTACGGAAATGTCTCCGACGTAACCCTCAATACAGAGGTGTCGTCGATGTTGAGGTCGGCGTCACTGGTAGTCATACTACTCGAAGCGGGACTAGAGTTGGACCCAAAGGTTATCCGCAAAATGAGTTTCGTTTGCCTACGGATGGCATTCGTGCCGTTGATAGTGGAAGTGCTGGCCATCACTTTTGCCACTTATTTCTTGATAGACTTTCCACTGAAATGGGGGTTTCTATTAGGGTTTGTATTGGCTGCCGCTTCCCCGGCGATTGTGGTCCCGGGTATGTTGAAACTTCAGGAGAAACGGTTGGGCGTCGATAAAGGCATACCAACTCTAGTGATCGCAGCCGCCAGTATTGATGACATTATGGCCATCACTGGCTTCAGTATCTGTTTGGGACAGGTATTCACATCCGACACATCCATGGCGTGGACTGTACTCAAGGGGCCGGTGGAGGCTGTGGTGGGCGTTGTGGCCGCCATTGCCATCGGAATATTCTTATGGTTTTTATGTCACTTTATTTTGAGTGATAAATGTATTAATTGAATGAACAATTATTATTCATCGCAAATAAAGGTATGTCCCAAAGGACAAGGAGTCCAAACTGGAGCGCATTGTGCTGTTACTGTTGTTTGGTTTGGTTTCTATGTTTGTGAGTCAGTCCCTCGACTTTGAAAGTTTTGGCACAATCGCCACAATTGTGTTGTCATTTGTGGCGGCAATCAAGTGGAGGGACAATGGGAGGGATAAACCCATTCTTACGACTCTCAAGATCTCGTGGTCTGTATTCGAGCCCTTATTGTTCGCTTTGATTGGCTTTGAGGTGAAGATATCGGACTTACGCTCAAATGCCATCGGCTTTGCAATCCTTGCGCTTATAATTGCGTTAATATTGCGAACAATCGCCTCAATGGTTGTTATAATCGGCGCTAATCTCAACCTAAAGGAGAAGATCTATGTGTCGATCGCGTGGACACCGAAAGCCACGGTTCAGGCGGCCATCGGATCCGTTGCCCTCGATTTGGCCCAACAGAGGGACGACCCGCGCCTCAAAGAGTTGGCTACTATTGTGCTGACAGTATCTGTACTCTCTATCCTCATAACAGCCCCGTTGGGCGCCATTTGGATCACATGTATGGGCTCGCGGTGTCTGAAGAAAGCCGTTCCCATTGAAGACACACCACTCCAAGAATGTAATACTATTTGCCATGATTTGAAAACTAATTGATTTTGTATGAAGATTATTCAATATTGAAAAACAGTATAAGATATTAAGTATAAAAAGTAAAGGTTCATGTATAAATAACACAGGGTCACTGAACAAATAAGTAGTTCTAGTATCTCATAAGAATAATATATGAAAATTGTGTACTTTTGCAGTAATATAAACAAGAATACATTTATTCTGCTAAATTGCAAATGATTTCCCTTTATTTATGGATTCAGTTTATTGATATTTCCATTAAATGTATTTAAATAATCAAAAATGTCAGACAATTTGAAATTCAACGACTATTTTGTATATAAAATATTATTTCTTATGATATGATTTTTATAATAATAATAATAACATTGAGAATTGAAATCCCAAAGAAAGAAATTGCAAACAATTGAATCGCAAACTAATATCAAGAATATTCCGAAATAAAAGCAAAATTCAAAACTAATCGATCACAGAAACACTCATTTGTTTTTCATTCAATTTTATTTTTATTTCTCTTTTCATCCTTTGATTATTGATTTTCTCTTAAAAACATAAAACACTTTTTTAAACTTTTCATTTCAATGAGACACACAATTGGGAGAGAAATGTGTAAAACATTAATCAAATATTGTGTGTTTATTAATTTTTTATTAATTACTATAATTACTTGTTTTTATCTTTTTTTTTCATTTTAATCATGTTAATATTAGAATTGTTTATCTATTTTGTAATTATAGTAATTAAATAAATACCCTTGTTTAAAACCATTTATTTTCTTGTTTTAGAGTCAGTGACTTTATTGAAAACTGATCAAATTATACACTTTACTAATCAATATAAAAGAAAATCAATTTTAAGCTAAAATGTCAAAAATGTTATAATTTATATAATAGACTGTATTTGAAAAATAGTTCTCAAAAATGTGTAAATATTTACCGGACATACAAAATGTCGTTGACTTGTATAGTGAGTGAAGAAACTCATAGAAATTGTGTGCAATGTTACTGAAAATACTTTAAAAGTAATTTAAAGTTGAAATATAACTCAAATAACAAATACAAACACAAAATCTATTTTTAATATCGATTGTTCAAGAAAAATAAAAACCCCATTTCATTCAAATCAAGTGTTATATATTTGATAAATAAACACAAATACTCTATAAATAAAGGCATTAGGGTTGGAGATTTAATTTTAGAGTTGGTATTTGATTTTCGTCACTAAATTGTGCGACAAAAAT